CATAGAATAGTGTGTGTATCAATTCGTTTCTTGTTAACTGAAGAGAATGTACATTTATTGAAAATATTAATTGATTTTCACAAGGGTTGTGACATGGGATATAATTTTGAGCAAGGTATGAATTATTTTCTAAATAAATAATTATTTAAGGTACTTGCGCAATGTCTTAATTGTGTATGCCTAATCTCAGTATCCTGGGATTCTATGTGTTCAGTTATCTAGGATGTCACAGAAAATATGTTTTTCGTTTCTACGTTTAAGTTCATCAAGACTGAGTGGTGTTGGCTTCAATCACATCATCTTGCAGCTTGCATTGAGTCATCTTTGGGTTTCACCGCTTGCAATCACATCATCTGTCACGTTGCATGTTGGGTTTGTGCGTGTGCGAAGGTCTTAACTATTACCATGAATCATATTAGACTTTTACGTGTGCAATGACCTTAAGTATTGTATTGAATCAACTGTCCGGTTTCTACGCGTGTGAAGATCTCACGTGCGATGAACTCGCATGTGACACTGAATCGTGATAGGTGTTTATGTGTACAATGACCTCGCATGTGACACTGAATCGTGATAGGTGTTAAGTGTGCGGTGACCTCGTATGATACACTGAATCCTGATAGGTGTTTATGTGTACAATGACCTCGCATGTTACGCTGAATCGTGATAGGTGTTTACGTGTGTGATGACCTCGCATGTTACACTGAATCGTGATAGGTGTTTATGTGTACAATGACCTCGCATGTTTCGCTGAATCGTGATAGGTGTTTATGTGTACAATGACCTCGCATGTTACACTGAATCGTGATAGGTGTTTACGTGTGTGATGACCTCGTATGTTACACTGAATCGTGATAGGTGTTTATGTGTACAATGACCTCGCATGTTACGCTGAATCGTGATAGGTGTTTATGTGTACAGTGACCTCGCATGTTACACTGAATCGTGATAGGTGTTTAAGTATGTGATGACCTCGCATGTGACACTGAATCGTGATAGGTGTTTATGTGTACAATGACCTCGTTTATTACACTGAAGGATTTAAGTGATGATTTCCAACTGAGCGACTCAGTTAATTTTCAGCATCTAGGTTTCCATATCAAGCACCATCTCGGGACGTGTGGGATTGAATGGCTGGTCTTTCATCTTCAGTGCTACAGTCACAAGAGCATAAGCATAATATGATCACTTGAATTACACAAAGGGTTTGCTGGAGACAGACAACTTTTTCTGTCACTGCTATAAGTCATTCATTCTATGGTTTGGACAGAAGGAGCCAAACGATGGCATTAGGGCATCAAGTGAAATTTGTTGTAAATCCCGAGGCAATTACTCTTCTTTCAGACTACATCTGTACTTCTGAAATGATGTATTGTTGTATGTACCATGAACGAGATAGTGGCGTTGAGGCTAGTGTAACATTACAGGGAGCTGCAACATACAAGGCATTATATGTGTTGAATATGAGAAGCACATATCTGTAATTCGAAACTGCCAAGACGAAGGTCTCCATGTACGTCTGTGTATCAGACATGAGGAGCCCTAGTTCGGGTTTAAATTCTACGTGTGTGTATCAAACGGGACATTTGATAAGTGTTTAAAGTGTGTGTGTGTGTGTGTGTGTGTGTGTGTGTGTGTGTGTGTGTGTGTTTTAGACATGGGAAGGCTTAGTCAGGGTTTAAATTCTGTGCATATTAGACATGTGGCTAGACTGGGGGTTAGAATCTTTATATTCGTATGTGTATCAGACATAGGCATACACCAGTGTTTAGATTCTCTATATACGTCTGTGTATTATATATCAGGTCTGGTCAGTAGGTACATGGATACTTTCTATATACGTCTGTGTATTATATATCAGGTCTGGTCAGTAGGTACATGGATACTTTCTATATACGTCTGTGTATTATATATCATGTCTGGTCAGTAGGTACATGGATACTTTCTATATACGTCTGTGTATTATATATCAGGCCTGGTCAGTAGGTACATGGAGACTCTCTATATACGTCTGTGTATCAGACATGAGGCAAGATCAGGGTTTAGAATCGCTACAGAGAAGGCTAGTGAAGTTGTGCTGAATCATTGACGTGGCCTCCATTAACCCTGCATCAAACTGGATATCGCCTGTCGTTTTGCCCAAGCGGAGGGCTTTCAGTACAGTGACACTGATGATAACCGGAATGTTTGAGTTTGTATTTCGGAACACATTTGAGGCATTTAGGGTACCCGAAGTAATGTGTGAGTTTATGAAGCCAAACAACCAACTCCCTCTTCAGATTAAAGCAAGGATCAAAGTATCTTCTTATTCATGCTATGAAACAAATTTCTTTTCTAAGAACTTTTATTGAAGACATGAATATATCATAGAATGAGGTGTCGTTGAGAACACCGAGAAGCTACACATTTACATTTAAACACTGTTTGTTCGTGTCTACTTGCCTAGTTTGAGACAATCAAGCGATCGGCTTGCGTGGTGCAAAGGTTATTGCGTAATTTGCGACTGGGCCTCTCGAGTGTTCGTGTGCAATTCAACCTTAGCAGTTGCAATATGAGACTAGACGGTCTTAAAGGATCCTGGTACCACCGAGACGTTTAAAACCAGTGAAGCCATTCCCTGAAAGCTGGGTGACCAATCAACCAACGTAACTGCCTTTCCTTCAGCGAGGAGGGAAATGTATTTTTAGTTTAATGCTTGATTTATTTATGCTTCAAGTAGCTCACGACATTGTTCTCAGGTTTACTAATCAAGGTGAACATTTACGTCTGTCAGCGACTAGTGATACTGAGTTTGTGCAGACACTGGTAACACCGATTTGTTCACGTAGATGCATCTATTCCTTTAAGTTGTCACAGGCCCCATTAGAATTGCGGGGAAGAAAAGGTCACCAATACACCATGTCGACTTATGTTAATGCTTTATTACTGTTAGGCACCAAGACCTTGAAAGGATGTATTCGTGAAAATATCATCGTGTATACGTGATAATATCATGTATTAATTTCACGAATGCACGCTGGTCTTTCTCTGGCATAAATAATTCAACAATCATGAGCATCAGCAGGAAAAGTGTCCTCTGGCCCTTTGTTTCAAAGACACTTACGCGCAACACTTCCACGGGTGCTCAGGCCACAAGTTTGCCCCGTGCTGACTTTACGAATGGTCCAACACTTTCTTATGTATGGGGTGTGGTTTTCCAGGGTATTATTACCTCGAGAAATACAAACTTAGGACAGCAGGATGACGTCACAATAATTACTCGCAACTGGTATATTGTTGATTGTAATACCTTAAATACGTATTAATATTATCTTAACAAAAGGGAATAATTGTCGGAGACTTGGGATTAAGTTACACCTGCTAAAACTGTGAAACAGTTTAGATGACATTACTAGAACACGCATGTGTGGGATGGATTTCTTTCCATGTAATATGTATGTGAATATCAAGTTTCCAGTCTGAATAACGTGACTTGAAAAGTCAATGATATGGTAGTCTTGCACATTACGTTCTGTGTGTTTTATCAGATCGTCTCAAGAAGCATGCAATGTTGCGCCAGCTGTCACTTCAGATCTTGTTACTTAATAGACATGTGTGGAGGAAATTCTGTCCATTGCTTGTGATCGCGTACATGTGACAACCACCTGCATTTAACATTTAAAGATCAATAGAGGATGTATTCTTGCACGTCTCGTTCAGTGTTGGGGGCACGGGTGGCCCAGTCGTCTAAGGCGCCGCGATTCGCTGTGCAGAGTTGCGTCCCTTGGGTACGCCAGAAACCTATGATTTTGGGTTCGAATCGCGGTTCGCCCCGGTTATGTTTCTAGGTTTGTCAGCACCATACCCGTGCTCGTGGGTTTCACCGAAGTGGTAAACGTCTGAGACCTGCATCACATCGGCCTTTCCTCCCACATTAAGCTGACACTGCGTGATATGACTGTAATACTGTTGAAAGCGGCGTTAAACCCAACCCACTCACTCACTCGATTTGCATCTCATCGGGCTTTCCTCCCACATTAAGCTGACACTGCGTGATATGACTGTAATACTGTTGAAAGCGGCGTTAAACCCAACTCACTCACTCGTTCAGTGTTACTGGATATACCCCGTCACGGCACCTATTGCCAAACAGGACCCGTGAAGATCCGGGTTGACAATAGGTCTTCAGCAGCCCATGCGTGTCGTAAAAATTGACTATCGGAATCGGATGGTCAGGCTCGCTGACTTGATTGATGCATGTTATACTGCGTAGATCGATGCTCAGGATGTCAACCAGTGCATTGTCTGGTCCAGACACGATATTTTAAAGACCGCCGTCATATGGTTTGAATATTGTTGAGTGTGGCGTTAAACTACAAACAAACAAACAAATAATGCCACACAGTCTGTTGCTACTACTGCTGTCATTATCAGTATAACAAAGCTAGTTCTCGTCGAAATATATGGCTGAAATAATGCCGACATGACGTTAAATTTCAACTCACTCATTACTAGTATATACATGATTGTATCATGTGCATTGAAATCCTATATTGTTACTGTTTTTTTCGAAATGGGGAAGGGAGCATAATTATTTAGAATACATTTTTAGTTGGGTTATAGCTACAGTTTGACATTCCTGTTGCCGATCACCACACATCTGGTCTCCGGCACATATGATCTTATAAAATGGGAGGGAATCCTTGACCCCTCAGTGTGTAGACTTGAACATATGGTTCTGTTGTGTTTCTTGATTCCCAATGCCACGATGTCCAATCCTCCAATGTCCCTCCCCGCTGTATGTATTTTGGTTCGTCCCTCCCCGTGGTGGTATCGACCTGGCACTGAGCGGCGAACTGGGCCAACACTATCTCCTGTACGTGAAGGAGGAGAGGGCCGGAGCATGATGGGAGTATTCCTAATCTCACAAGACAAGAGATAGCAAACAATTGTACGTTGTTAGACGCTTCTCACATTGTTTGTGGAGTAGCTGAACAGCCCAACTGATTGAACGTCTCATGAAAAACGGTGATCGATACATATTGCTATTGATCACAAGACTGCTCAACAGTGGACGTTTGTCCCACACAGATTCCACTATCTTATGACAAAAATACGGTTAACGTATAGATTCTATACTTTACAGACTATTTCCACCAAGTGCACCAATGACAAAATTGATATCTTAAATGCAGTCCCTGAAATTTGCCATATGTTTCTCTGCTGCGATGTTTGGTGCAGTATGTTTACATTTGTCTTCTGTTGGTTATTTTAAACACACAATAATGTTTACCGATGTTATCCCTCAAACTATTTCAAAGCTGGTTTCGGAAAGCCGAACGTGAGTTTCATCGTATCAATCTTGAACTGAGGATCAGCTAAAACATCAACACCAGATTCTGCAGTGCAGACCGTTGATAAAGAGTTAGTTGTACAATGAGTGTGTGCTGGGATCGGCTACTGCTGGAATGAGGTGTTCGACATTGAGTTTGGTATAACAACAACGTGCATCTTTCATCCAGGTCTTTCATGTGCCAGATCCAGGAGCATGTTGAGATGTCTTCACGGGAGCACATAGAATATGGCTTGGGCAGATTCAACATCACAGTTGAGATCGTCTCGTCATAACGGCCTTCGTCGGGCTGTGAAGGACACGTCGTGAACATTTTCCTTTCATGGTTATCGTACAAAGGATACAGTGCTAGCTACCGTTCACATAGGACCAAGAGTACACGGTTGATATAGGAATACTTCATTTGAGAGTCGTGTGTAACTGTGCGGAGGACACGTCGGGTAAAATCCTACACAGATTGAATATTCCTCCATTTGAAATGTCAGTGTGTATCCTCAGTGATTCAATGAACACTAGAAACAATTTCTGTGTAGTTGACTGCCAATTAAGATATCAAGCTGTATCATTGCTTCATTGGTGCAGGTGGTCGGAGAAAGGTTGTTTTGTATATGAAATGGCAGTGATTTGTGCCATTTTTCATTGCCTGTTCGTTGTGTTTTTAACACAACCAAAGGAGAGTATTACAATGGATATTGCAATGTGAACAATTCGTAGATGACTGTTCGTTATAAAGAGTAGTGTCAAGGCATATTCGTCGAGAGGCGCCAAAAGAGAAGTGTGAGTATTGATATTAGATTTATGTTCAAACTTGCACGGAGAGTTAGGATGGTGTGATCATTTTTATTTAATTGCCATTTTAGGTTGAATTTAGTGGCAGAATTAGGTTGAATTCCGCAGCTGAAACCAGCATTCATGTACTCTGAGAATGGTACAGTGACAACTTTCGGGTCTGTTTTGAACGTTTACAACAATCCTAGTTCTATAGAATAATACATACAGTATGTGAGTGAGTGAGTGAGTGAGTAGGCTTGTACGCCGCTCTTAGCAATGTTCCACAAATGTCACTGAGAGGGACACCAGAAATGGGCTTCACATATTGTACCCATGTGGGGAATCGAACCCGGGATTTTGGCGTGTCGAGCGAATGCTTTAACCACGAGGCTACCCCACCGCTCCCAGTATGTAGTAGTACACGGAAGAGTGAATGAGAGTGTTTTTTTAACGCCGGAGTCATTTTCATCTTCCATATAAATGACTTTCCTCTCAACACACTTTGGTGCAAGAATGTGAAACGAAACTATTTAGTCGTGTGTTGTGCTAACATTACATATTCATAGTTATCTATTTGATAAATGTTATATATTTACGCGAATAACTACATTCTGAAATAGCAAATTTCACGAGACTGCCTCCGATATATCCCTGAATCTCTACTTGCATATTCAAACATCTTCAGAGTTTTACTAACGGCGTACAAGTGCATTAAAGTAAAAAACACCATAAGAATCAAGTGTATTTCGTCTTTTGTATGGCGTATACCTCTATGTCACTAGAAATAGGTACAAACCCATGGAACGTCGTTATTTAAATCCGCCATATTGACTGAGTTAAGTTTCGATACCATAAGAAGTGAGTGCGTAGGAAGCTCTGCAAGACATAACTATATCCATAAGTTTTTTTTATCGACATGATCATTTCCAGGGAATATACATATTCTGTGTGTATTTGTGGTTATGGTTAATGTTGGATTAATAAGTATTAAGCGTAGGTTTAGTTTTATCCATCAAAATGTCATCAATGTAATTTTACAATGTTTATGATGATTATGAATGCAATGTTTCAGAGTTTTTCGTTTGAGCTCTTCAAAATGACAATAAAGCATCCAAGATTTAAGGTTTTGTATCATGGCAAAAAGTCACATAGGTTTCCAAGTCAAACACAAGCAAGAAAAGTCCTCAATCACGAGATACATCTCAATCCCTGAGTAAATGTTTGTTTGTTGTTCAACGCCGCATTCATCAGTATTCCAACTATTTGGCAACGGCCTGTAAATATTGGAGTCTGTAAGTAATCACGGACTACCGGATCCATTAGCTCGCCTCTTACGACCAGCATAGGTTGCCCGGGACCAAGTCTAACCCGGAATCCCAACGGTTACGTGAGTGCATGAGTGGTTGCATGTTGTTTAACGCCGCATTCCGCATTCATCAGTATTCAAACTATATGGCGGAGGTCTGTAAATATTGGCGTCTGTAAGTCATCAAGACCACCCATCCAATAAGTCGCCTCTTACGACCAACATAGGTTGTTTGACTCGTACCCGGAATCCCAACGGGGTATGAGTGAATGACTGCATATTGTTTAACGCTGTATTCCAGTTGTATCACGTTGGTGTCTAAGTCTTGAAACTGAAACTGGACGTTCCCTTTTGTACTTAGTTGCCTCTTGTAACAAGAAATATGCTACTGGGGACCTATCCCACTCCAGGTGGGCAGAGGGGTAGCCCAGTGGTTGAAGCGTTTGCTCGTTATGCCGAAGACTCGGGTTCGATTCCCCACATGGGTACAATGTGTGAAGCCCATTTCTGGTGTCCCCCGCCGTGATATTACTAGATCATTGTTACTGCAAATACGGCGAAAAACCACACTCACTTACTCACCCTGACCCTGGCTATCACGTGAGACCCCGTGCAGTAACGGTGTACATGGCCTTATATTTTCATTCCTTTGCAAACTACTATTGAATACACTCATTAGTTGTTGAAACGAGGAAATTAAAACATTACGAAGCTCGCGGTTGAGAGATCCCTTAGACAATTCAATAACAGTTGCGATGTTTTCATATCCACATGCCGTTTTAACCGAACAATCAAATCGCTTTGGTACATAATTTGAATAGTATGTGCTCGACACATATTCTTTGATAACCACAGTAGGGGTAAACTTCAAATTAGCAATATCTGTCGGCAAGTTACTGACGTTGCTTGTTAGCCACATAAAACTGACAATAGAAACACATGAAACGTGACGTCTGGGTAAAACAATTGGGATTCTAATTTTATCTCTTTAGAGAAAGTAAAGTCATGAAAATGGTACCCCATATGTAGCCAAGAGTCATTTCCTGGTGTCCTCTGATTTGATATGATTATGGCTTGGAGACATTGCTCTTTCACTGCCGACCCGTGAAGATTCCGGGGTAGAATTGGTCTTCAGCTACCCATACTTGCCGTAAAAGGCGACAATGCTTGTCGTAAAAGGCGACTAACGGGATCGGGTTGTCAGGCTCGCTAACTTGGTTGATGCATGTCATCGATCCCAATTGCGTGGATCGATGCTCATGATATCAATCACTTGATTGTCTGGTCCAGACTCGATTATTTTACAGACCGCCGTCATATAGCTGGAATATTGCTGAGTGCGGCGTTAAACAACAAACAAACCAACCAACAACTTTCACTGCCATAACCGTGAGATGCGAGACATTATAGAACATATTTCCATTCCCTGATTCGTAGTGAACCCATGATGTAATGGACAGACACAGGAACACCAACCTGATCTGCTGTGAAACATTTATGCAGTGCGAAAGGATGATTGGTCAACTTGTCTTCCATAATATTGAAAGTAAACTGATCGGTATGGCATCACACCATATGGTCCAAAACATTTGGTGGCCAACAAATTAAGCTGCAACTTTTGGAGGAAGTCATCTGATCCCGAAAATGAATGCTCAAACAAATAATTTGTCCGCAGGTTTTACAAAATCATTGGACGTGTTGGTTGTCCTGAATAGAAATGTACCATGGATCCAAAAAGGAAAACATGTATCTTTTGAAGCACTAACTGAAAAACATAATCCGTCTGAAACGAAATTTCATAAATATATTATATACATACTTCATGTCATTGCATGAGGTTGTGTTACAGTATTGTTATGATTGCTTTTAAAACACGGAACTCTTTATCATCGTGCGGATAACCTAAAATATGCTTTTGAATTATTTCGTTTCATTTTTGGTTTTGTCAAGATTTCAATGGAGGACCTACCGTTCCATTCCTAGACAATCCATTCACAAAAAAATACTGGTGGTCCTTCCTTCATCAAAATATGCTTCTGATGAGACATTTCCTTCCAGTAAACTGCCAACGGATCAACAACTTGCAGTTCCTCATAATTTGTCATCGAATGCGGCTTCATAATACATACCAAATAAAGTCTATTATCAATATTTAATGTTTGATTTGGAAGGCGGAGGTTTGCATGCCATCGCGCCTCTACGGGGAAGAATTCAGCGAGGAGCATTGATTGAAATCACAGACGTCTGTCGTGTTGGTTTATTGCGACCCCATGCAGACCCCTGATCCGAGTGTAGAAATGTCTATTTTCATATCAATAATATAATAAATATGATATATAACCTATACATACCATGCATGCTGTCTATAACGCGTTTTCGATGTCGCGTTTGATAAGAGTTTACCCAATAAATATTATAACATACATTATATGATTTGAATATTAGACCTTTTGAAGTGAATATGAAAGAAAAATATTAAATTATTTGCTGTGCTTGAATTACATGTTCATAGCTATGATTTGGTTTCAAAAGATGAAAACTGATTTGCCTCTGAAAGGTCTCTAACTAAATATAACTAGAAATCAGAAAAGATGTGCTTTTGTCCTCGAGTCCGTTTTGAAACACATCGAATGAGATTCGAACCCGAATGAGGACATTGTTGTGTTTGATAAACTCATGCCTAAATACGCAGAACAACCTAATTTGATTGTAGTGGCCAAAGGGGTTTTCACAATTTCTCAATATAGATTTTAGAGCAGTTTTAACCAGTCCGATATTTAGACTTTAACCGAATAGTGTCCAGCTAGCTTTAACAGATATGTTCAACTGTCAAGTCGTCTGAAACTTTCTGTAATTTGTAATTATGTGCATCGTTTGAAACATGTTCAGATATGTCCTTGGCACAGCCATATCCTTCGGGACATAGAATATAAGTGGCATGATGATAATTGTTTACTTCGATCTCCTTTGCCCAACGTCAGGTGGTTCCTGTTTTCGTGATGTGTCGATGGCAGGATAGTGCCGACGCACAGTGGTAAAACTGACGCACGAAAGTCAACGGTTCAATCCTATGAAGTAAATATCTAAACAATAGGAATCCTAAATAATTTGCTTTGCTCACTAGCATCTCTCCCAGGCGTCATGAAGGATAGATCGAACAAAGTGAATTAGTGTGGTGGAAGACATCAGCTTGATTACAAAGCCACAATCAATATAAGCCAGCTTTCATCTACATCTTCTGTCAGCAACACTTGCATCCTCTACCCTCTCCACAATCAGGCCAATTATTATCTGCCGTCTCTAAGTAATCGTATTTACATGTCAAATAGACATGAATGTAAGAGGTCTAATGTGACAAGACTGATGGCGTCTCCACTGCGATGGTGGTTATAAATTCTGCTTACTGCAATTCATTGAGATAGGAGATTCAGGACACTGTTGACGCTTGTTCCGGGGATACATTTAAGTGTCAGTTAAAAGGAATCGTAATAAATACAATTACTATTTTCATACAGAATATGGTGCTGGATAATGTTTGCAGGACCTAAGCCTAGTTCAATAATGGGGGCAATTAATTCTAACGAGTTATAATGAAGGGTTTTCACTGTGGTAGTCGTTGTTGACTAATGTATTGTGGTGGCCCTGAGCCTATACCCTCAAGCACAGACAAATCATGGTACACTGTAGTAATGACGCTCAG